GTTTCAGAATGTCGACCGAATTCATCTAACCCAAATTTCAATCTTATGACGGCACTTATGAACATGGTTATGGACCATCAGGTTCCACAAAAGGCAGTGAGTTTTTTGAACAGTTGAGTAACTCTTTGCTTCTCAAGAAGGGCTGTGTGCCATGAAGCTATTTGGTTAGTTAACGACTTAATTGTTGAAGATGTTTATTAAATTTGGAACTAATTACATAATGTATTACTTGCTTTTATAGAATAAGTTTCAAGTGTTGTTTCCTAGAATTCGATTTGTATGTCCCGTATTATGTAATAGTTTCGATGCAAACTCTTTTATCATATTCCATAAATAAACTGTTTACTTCCATGTGCTAAAGTCAGAACTTAGTACTGTCGTCCAATTTTCAGTCAAAGACAATGACCCTGCATTTGGCGTAATAAAATCCGAAAGTTAAAACTGCCTCTTGCAATATGCAACACAGCAAGCGAGCGTGTTGGTTGGGTTGCGAGTTGGCAGGGTCTGACAGTAGTGTAATAGTATAGCACACGACACGGGGTCTCCTCCCACTCAACACGGAGAAAATCAATAGGGCCAAGCTTTTCAGAGTTGTGGAGTGTAAAATGGACATTTGAAGGAAATTCTGATCGCATACAGGGGAAAGGACTGAAAATAAAACGGTAGCAGACACTGAAGGAAGCTTTAATGAGCTTGAAAGCAATATCTAGTTAAACATTGAACTTGCGAGTGCGTAATTTAGGTCATTAGACGAAAGGTTCAGATTATTTGACAATGTTTTACACTCTTTTCCTTACACTGAATTAAAAAACGGAAGGAAATAGAGGACATTACGAAACAACTCTGAAATTCTTCCTGGTTAATAAAAAATATATCTCTCTCACTTCCATCGTTCATGCATGTTCTATTTGGTATGTATACATGATTTTGAATTTATTTTCTTACTCTGGGAAAGAGCAAAATTGCATTTATTTTAATAGAAGTTTCCTCAGAAATCATTTAAACCTGAGAGAGGGAGCGAGGAATAACGCGATTTATAACGTTCTCTTCGCCCTTTCATAATTCGGCGAAGGACGATATAACGGTTTGAACATGTAACTTCCAAATGTGGTAGAAGCATGTAGAGGAATTTGATTGTGAAACCCCTTGGAAAGTGGTGACTCAGAAAGTATACACCTGCATTTCCCCATACGTATGAGGAAATTAGGTACAGCTTCACACATTCTAACAACGGCACTCGTGGGCGGTTACATTTTCGTTCCGCCATTTACCCCGTAACACAACTGGGTAGAAGGGTGGGCGGATCTTAGAGCTGATCTCTCCGCAATCATGCCTTTGTCAGGTCGTCCAGCCCATAGCCAGTCACTATGTTCACAAATGTTAGTGTAACAGGTTATGAGAATATGAACTGACTGAACCTACTCAGTATTTATAACACTGTCATATTTTAAGAAAAGGACGACTTCCGAATGGGAACTTTCGTTAGTTCTTGCAGGGATGACTTTATGTGGGTTCCATTTATGCTGTTACGCATCGCACGGAAGCTGGGGAGAATGCTTATAGAGCATAGCGAACAGTTACGGCAGAAAATTTCCAGCAAATTGACAATAAAACAAATATATCGAACACACTCACTTCAGATTACAATGAAGACCTTGTTCAGCGTTCAGATATTAAGACTTACACCTGTCTTCATCCACTTTCATTTACTTTGACGCTGTTCATTCCTCCTGGCAGTACGAGTATATCCGAGTGAACAAACAGAAACAAAACAAACTCCGTGGCTTGAGGCCGCAAGCCAACTATACCGACCGAGCGACCGACGCTTGTCGGCGAATTTTACCCAGGGAGACATAAAAAGCCAGATGTTAGGTACAGTTAATTAATATCTGTTCTTTTTACGTGATTGGTAGAAAACAGCAGTGGGGAACTTCCTAATTTGTGCCCACCGAGGCACTCTGCTATAAGCCGGAAGGTTGCGGGTTCGAGTCACAATGAGGTGGATTTTATTTTCAGTTTACCTAATCCTTCCAGCCGCATTATGGCCTTGGTGTCGACTCAGCCTTTAACTGAAATGAGTACCAGGAATCCTCCTGGGGGGTAAAGGGCGGCCGGCACGTAAGGCTGACAAACTTACCGCCATATGTGAATCGATTGTCTAGAGAAAATGTGGGAGCCTCGACGTTTCAGAACCATATGGACCTTCACGGCCTGTTACAAGGATAGCTTTACCTAGCTTTACCCCCAGGTATCAGTAGGGTGATCAAATGAAGATGTGCTGGGCGGAACATGCAGCAAACATGGGATAAACAAGAAAATCCATCAATATTTTAGTTGAAAATCCCAAAAGGAAAAGATTACTTTGTACACGTAAAAGTAAATGGAGGAGAGTAGTCAAGTGGAGCTCAAAGAAGATTGGTCGTGAAGTTGTGGAGTAGTTTCAACTGAAACAGGATACGATCCAGTACCGGGTGCTATAAACACGATAATCAATCTTCGGGTTCCGTACAGGACGGGGACTTTATTGACCAGTTGTTTAACCACTTGCTTCTCGAGAATGCTCCCTAGTGTTAGCTCTGAAACACGAGAGACATGGTTTGGTGAAATGATATGTCATTATATAGTTACGTGTGTTCGTGAGTAAGCGAATGACCAAGAGAGTGCAACATTATTCGCAATTGTCATTCAACGCCGCCTCGTCCTGTTTGTGTATCTGTGCAAAATTTGGCGTAGGCCTGCTCGTTTGTGTTAAGTTATCAGCTGTTGTGTTGGGAAGTCTTGTTGAATTTGAATTCCACAATAACACATATTTGCAGCATCACCTAATGGGTCCTATGCTTCCTGTGAAAGCTCATATTTTATTAAGGTAAAGTTGTCCCTGTGTTCAATGAATGAAGCACTACGCCATGAAGGCGTACAGGGGAGTGGATGTATAGATCCACGTTGTCTTAACCTCGGCACTAGCTGGAGGTGAGTGGTCAGCTTCCCGCCCTGATTGCTTTACCCCCGAGGAAAGAGCCCCCAATACCCATTGGATAAGAGGCTGGGTGGGCCCTGGTGGTGGTCTGGACGACGTGGAGAAGAGGAAATTCTTGACTCTACCGGGATTCGTATTCAGATTGCTTGGTTGTTCAGCCCGAAGCCAGTCGCTATACTGACTATGCTACCACAGTTCCTTGCATTTCTGAATAACTTTTTAAATATATTGACTTAAGGCATTATAGATCCCAAATGATTGTCTCAGAAACAAAAGTCCAACACTGAATTCCGTCTTAAGTTATCTGAAGTCAGTTTATATTTCCTATGGTCAGTTTGAATAATATTTTCACGTGACCTACTGTCGGGTTTAAGCACAATAGACCACTGTAGGTCGCGGTGCAAGGGCCGAGGAGGCCCACTCCTTATACTAGTATATTCATTCATACTGTCGGGTTTTGGGTCGATGAACGGATTTATGGCACACTCATACAACTTCTTACTACACTTCACAAACCACTATATGACTCACTGTGTCTTCTCTTCTCCACCATCTTCAACCGCAGACTCCAGACACTCCCTTCATTCTAATTCTTCCAAAGTCAACGTTATATTGCGACTAACAGTCAGTCAGTCAGTAAGTCTTTGACAGTTACGGTCTTTTAGGGGGGCGCCCTCTCTTATGAGAGGACGAGTCTGTCTTTTTGTTCAATCCACCACTATTTCACTGTAATCACTGCACTCAAAAAAAAAACACCGTGGTTTTAGTCCGCAAGCTAACTATGCCGACCGAGAGACCGCCGCTTGTCGGCGAAGTTAGTGCCAACTTTAGCGGATAGAGTGTGTCGCGTGGCCAGCGCAACGAATCCCCACGGCCGTTAATTTCGGTTTTATAGACCGGAGCCCCTATTTCCTTGAAATAGCTCCTCAATTAAACTCACGAGGATGAGTGGACCCCGTTCCAGACCCACTATTTCTCAGAAAATCTGGTAGCGCCGGGAATCGAACCTGGACCTCTGGATCTGTAGCCAGGAACTCTGACCACTAGACCACAGAAGCGGTAACCACTGCGCACTCTTTTCCTATGTCTTGTCGCTGTCAACACTGAGCGAACTTATCATCCTATCGCAAACGAAGAACCAGTATGAGCAAGTGCAAATAGACTATTTGAACCAGCTCACGATGGTTCTTTGCTTGCGGATTTTCTTCTTTTTTATTCTATCCTGAAGATGGAGGCGATACGTTCCTCCGAAACGTCGGTTAACACAATATCTACACGGCGCCATATCCCAAAAGACTTCCTTCTTCAGCTTACTGTAGTTTATATAATGTCATCCCATTACTAGCCGTAACTAGTAAGTTATACACGTATTGACTTAGTAGACGTTTTATGAAGGAATTTAATTGCAGTAACAAACTAGCCAAAGTTGACACTAAGGATTCTGCTTTTGAATATTCTTTGGCAGAGTTCTGGTGAATTTTCCCAGCAAAAGAGGCTGCTAGCATATCTTCGTGTGTGGGCTTACAAAGGAGAGTCCCTGATAAGCTTGAGCCATTGCATGAATAAGTTTGATTATCAGACTGCAAAGGATGGACTTTGTCCGTCGTCCGGTATTTTAAAAACTAGAGAAAACAACGTTTCGGAAAATAGATCTGTGATCATTTTATGCAACTTCCCGTTCTATCTTAGTTCCACGCCCATCTATGCATGCATCTATGCATGTCACAATTTTTAGTGCATATTTTCCTGTTATTCCTTTCGACATACCTGTCCTTGTAACAGGCCGTGAAGTCCCACAGGGTTGTGAAACGTCGAGGCTCCTTAGCTTTTTCTAAGGGACCCAACAGAGTGTTTTCCCCCTCACCCGAGGAACGAAACAGATCCAGTTTCGGAAACGTTGTTTTCTCTGGTTTTTAGAAGAACAAGCGATGGACAGTGTCAAACAAACCACTAATTCAAAGTCTGATTGTATTGGACATCAGTATCATTAGAAGATATCATGATAGGATTACCATTGTTGCAGGTGATCTTGGTGAAGTGGAATGAGCCGTACCAGAAGCTGGCCTCATGTGACAGCTCAGGCATTATCTTTGTCTGGATCAAGTATGAGGGCAGGTGGAGCATTGAGCTCATCAACGATCGAAACACTCCTGTCACACATTTCTCTTGGTCACATGACGGTCGCATGGCGCTCATCTGTTACCAGGTAGGAAGGCACCGTGCTCACCAAGAAAGTGACTATTTTACGAACTGGATGACCGGCGAATTTGAGTTCGATTCCTGACAGGTACAGAGATTTATTCTTCTCCACAGCGTCCAGATTGTCTGTACAGCCCAGTCAGCCTTTTATCCAATAAATACGTTGGTCTGTTTCCCAGTGTGTAAAGTGGCTGGGTCGTGAAGCTTGCCACTTACCCCCATGTAGTACTGAGATTAAGAATGCTTGAAGATATACCTCCACTTCAACGTGTCTTCAAGGCCCAATGCATAATTACCAACTTCTTTTGTGTTCATTTATTTATTCACTAAAATGCTTATTTATTCATGCATTTGCTCACATGTTTGTATATATTAATTAACTTTTATTTATAGTTCCAGTCTGCCTCATTTTTAGTCCCTTCAATGTACCTCCAAACCTACTTTTTTCTGTATGTATGTATATGTATGTATTTATTTATATATGTATGTATATGCAATGTATACACACACACATACTCACATGTATACAGTATATTTTTTCAGCCAGCATTCATGCCGCCAGACGATTGTTGCATACTGGCAAACTTGTCCAAAGCCAAAAAGTTGTGTATCTATCAGTGTATTGTTTGTTTTAATGTTAAGGCTAAAACCTAGCTTCTGAGTATCAGTGATATGTTTCCCAGTACACATAAATTGTTTTCCGGTATGTGCACTAGCTGAATAGAGAGATAGGGTTGAGTGGGAGGGCGAAACAGGTTTCAGAGCTTTCCCTTGAGATGTAATTGTTGTGCTAGATGGTGTTACATTCCACAAGACAATAAACTTCATAGTCACAACCATGAGAATCACATATCTTAACATGTGTATCCTAAATTTGTGTTTGTCTTTCCACTCTTGTTGGTATCTTGGCTTGCGTCATTCATTTCCACATCTCAGTAATGTACAAATTAAGACGTGATTATTATTTATATACTGATTTCATGTTTTCCATCTTGCAGGATGGTTTTGTATTGGTTGGTTCTGTGGCAGGTCAGCGCTATTGGTCTTCCATGCTCACATTGGACTCCACCATCACATGTGGTATATGGACACCTGATGACCAGCAAGTAAGTGAAATGTGGTCAACCCGAATACTCTATTAATTAGCTACACTTCATAAGTTCAAATATTCTAACAAGTTGAATTTTCTATTGAAAAAATGTCACTTTGTGAATTCAAGGTATTAATTTCATTACAGCCAATTTACTCTAAGAAGGCTGTAGGACATTGATGTCAGGGACTCATAAACTTCTTATCCCTATTTGGATTAAAAAAGAGTGACCACAACAATGGAAAAAATTAGTATTGTCCTATTTATAAAACAGGAAACAAAATTGCCTGCAGTAATTTCTTATGAATCTTTTTTTTTATCATAATACAAACTTTTATCCAGTATTCTTCTCGCATGACAAATGCCATTTATAAATGAAATCGTCGTTTCTTATGAGCATGGATCATGAGTTAATGGCACAGCTATTAATCATATCTCTGCACTTGACTGACATTAAAAAACAATGGGAGTACACCAATTATCTATAAATCAAAAACATACTTATAAATTAGTTAGGAGAGAAGTACTGTATAATATTTTACTTGAATTTTGAATGTCCAGAAGACATTCTAGATTAGTTAAAATGATACATGAGCTGCTTCATAGAGTTTCTCTCCCAGTGACTGCATTCAAGCATAATTTATCTTGACTGTTAATTATTCAAAACATTAATTCTCTGAACACAGTTGCTTTAAAAATAAAATTATATTTCTCAATAATATTTTACACACATGTCCATTCTTGAAAAGTTCTATGTTCGTGGACATTAACATTATGTAGTCCATTGAAAGACAACAGTGTTATATCCCAGAAGATAGAACTCTTTAGAACCACCTCTGTGAGAACCTCAAATCCTACATGTCCATCCTTATTTGTTGCATTATATTACAAAAACTGTGTGTGTCTGTGTGTGTATGTGCATGAGTTTTTCAAATGTAAAATATAATAATTTCGTCATATCTAATAAATATAATCTTTGATTCTGTTATTGTTCAATTATCTGAACAAATTGAGAATCTGAACTACATTTTGTTTTGCATAATTGATGATCTTTAATTCTTTACTCTCTACTTATATGAACTAAGTAATTAAAATGAAATTATAACTATTTCAGACAATTGACACTGTACTGTAGTTAAAAGAACATCAATCATTTATATCCTACATCTAGTGAGATTATTTTCATCTTGCCAGAGTGGCATGTTGTACTGATCAAAATTTTGGAACAAATTACTTGTGATGTGTTTGTGCTTGGCTTACCAACTGTCAACATGTGTAGGTGTACTTTGGAACAACAGCAGGGCAGATCATCGTGATGGATGTTCATGGGGCCATGGTGTCCCAGGTGCAATTGAGTAGTGATGTGGGAATTACAATGATGGCCTGGTCTTGTGAAAAATTCAAGATGGAGGAGGGAGATGAAAGAACTCCTGTAGTAGGGCAGTACACCCCTCCTGCAGGTATTTACATTGTCAATGTCTTTTAGGTTATGCCTAGAAAATATTCATTTCACATTGATATTTCCTCAGACCTCTAGATATATGATGAGAATATTACATTCACTATAATGATCTTTTATTTAGATACCCACTTAGCAAGTTGGCTCAAACAGTAACACTTACTTACTTGCTTATGGAACTGAGCCCTTCTTGAGGAGAACCCAAATCTGCAGCTACTCAAGAATTTCTCAGCATTTTATGGAATCCGAAAGTTAATTACCGTGTTCACAAGAGCTCTCCGCTGGTCCCTATCCTGAGCCAGATCAACCCAATCCTTTCCATCCCATCCTGTCTCTCTAAGATCCATTTTAATATTGTTCACCCACCTATGCCTTGGTCTTCCCAGTGGTCTCTTTCCTTCTGGCTTTCCCACCAATATCCTATATGCATTCCTTTTCTCCCCCATTCGAACTATGTCCTGCCCACCTCATCCTCCTTCACTTGGTCATTCTGATTATACTTGGAGAAGAGTACAATTTATGAAGCTCCTCATTATGCTGATTTCTCCAACCTGCTGTCACTTCATTTCTCTTCGGTCCAAATATTCTCCTCAGCATCCTGTTCTCAAACACCCTCAGTCTATGTTCCTCCCTTAATGTCAGAGACAAAGTTTCACACCCATACAGAACCACATACAAAATTATAGTTCTGTGTATTCTAATTGTTATGCTTTTAGACAGCAGACGAGAAGACAAAAGGTTCTAAACTCAATGGTAGCAAGCATTACCTGAGTTCAGTCTCCTCTTAATTCCCTCCTGAATCAGGTTTTGGTTTGTTATAATCGTTCCCAAATATCTGAACTGTGCCACATTTTCAAAACATCTGTTTTCTATCATTAAGTCATGATCTTGCCCTGCATTTTGGTGATGAGAGAGAAACACATACTTAGTTTTCTCTGTGTTTATTACTAGACCAACCTCCTTACTAGAGTCAATTAAAGTTTGTGGGTTTTTCTTTATGGTATCTATATTATCACCCAGTAGATTCGCTTCATCAGCACAGACCAACAGCTGAAGTGTCCTGTTTAATTACAGTCCCACCTGGTTTTCCTGGACCTTCCTAATGGCATATTCTAAAGCAAAGTTGAAAAGGAGTGGTGACAAAGCATCTCCTTGTCTTATACCATTCTGGATAGGAAATTTATCAGACAGTAACCCTTCCGGTTCTGGTAGATGGGGGAAGCATTATAGATACCTCTCAGCTAGTAGAGCTGGTCTCGCTGGCTGGGCGGGACTGATGGTAAGCACCAGTACTGGTAGGATATAGAGACTGGTAGAAATCATAGAGGGAAGCACAATGGACCAATACAGGTCTCAGTGCATGGGGAAACCCACCCTTTCTAATAACTAACTAACTAACCCTTTCAGTTTATATTTAGGAGGTCCCTGATTTGAATCTTGGTCAGGACACCAGCTGTACTGACTGAGGTTTTCTGTAGTTTTCCTCAATCCATGTGAGTAATGCAGGTAGCAAGCACCTGCTTTCATGTTCGATTCCTTCTTGGCTTATTCATTGACCCTGAAAGTGGAGGCAACATGTTCCTCTGAAACATCATTTAAATTTCAGCTAACTACATGGTGTTATATTCCAGGCAACAGAACTTTTCATTGCCACCTCTGTGAGAACCTCAAATCGTATATGGTCTTATATATTCTCAGATAATCCTAACATTTTCATATCCACATGATAAACAGGCAGTTCTGGTAAGACATAATCGCATACTTTCCTTTAATGCAATACAGTCTACATAGAAAATAACACCTCTAATGATTCTTCAATTTTTGCATATGCTCATTGCCGTGGAAACATGTCTACCAAGATGTTGCCTAGCAACCATAAGGGGAATATACATACAGACACAGAGACTGATTAGAGGGATTTGTGAAGTACGCCATTGAGATGGGCTGGTTGCCATTATGTAAATACACACCAGATTTCAAGAAGACTGGTTCAGACATTCAAAATTTCTTAGGAAGTCACAGATGTACAAAGGTAGAGACACATAGATGCACAGACAGCAAGGTGATCACATAAGCCTACTTTTATTTTTCAAAATAAGGAAAGTGGGCTAAAAATGTAACTGTCATGATAGGTAACATACCAGAAGGCTACAAACATCAACTAAGGAAAGAAACATATATCAAAATCAAAATTGTCCTAGATAAGATACTGTAAGTGGAATTAAAGTATTGTTTTATCTCTGTTTAATACATCAAAATCTTAATTGTCATAAGGAGAAACATAATTATATTATTATTGTAATCTTATGTATGACTGATTGAAATTTATATTTCTTTTTAGTGTAATAGAAGACAATGAATGCATGGTGCATTATGTGTCATTCAGAATTCAAAGCAAAATGCTAATTAGATTGTATTTATGCAGTTCACGCAGTGGCAAATATGTCTGTACAGATTCTAGCAGTCCTATATTGCAATGTCATTCAAAGTTTTGGATTTCTGATCCTGAAATTTACACAAATATTTTGAAAATATATTTAATATAAGAACAACTATTTTTGAATTGTTTGCTGGCCTAGTCCTACTAGATGCTATTTTGTTTGCTTTTTAGATGGCTGCATCTTCATCTTAGCAGTGAGTCTGCAGAATGGATATATATTCCTCATGAAGAGTTTTGATGATGTTTCACCAATCCAAGTGCACACTGGTTTGTGTGGGCCCCTGTGTCTGGAGTGGAGTAACTGTCATGAGCTCCTGGCTGTAGCTGGCACTATGCAACAGACAGTTCCTGCCTCTGCTGGGACACAGCAGTCATCCCCAGACTCCAAAGTGGCTTCTGCACCCACAGTGGAATATACCAACATGCTAAAATTTTACTCTGAAACTGGTGTGCTCCTCTATTCGACAATAATTCCCTACACCCAGGTCTGTTTCTGAGATTAATGATTTAAGTTTTAAGGTTTTTGTGACAATGATTGTTCAGATTCTGGTCGTCAAGATTGTGATGCATTTTAGTCTTGAAGGCGGATACTGATGTTTTGGAGGAACATGCTGCCTTCATTTCAGGGCTAAAGGTGAGTGTGTTCCTTCTAACCTGCCTCCATAATTGAGTCACTTCCTCATCATTAATTCTTCAACTATGAAAATGGAGGCTACGTATTCTCCTGAAATGTCGGTATCTACCTTCAAGCTACAGGACATCGCAGCCAAGAAGACCACAGATTAACGATTATTAATTAAGTAATAAACTAACTCCATGGTGCAGAGTCCTTCTTGAGAAGCTAATGGTCACATAGGTGATCAAAACATTCCTTGTCTTATATGGAACCGGAAGGTTTATTATTAAGGAACAGATTTTTAGGTGCAAAAAAGTATTTCTTTTGTAACTTGAAAGTCAAAAATATGCTCCAGAAGGTTGAAAATATTTACGAGAATGTACCTGTGATTGCACAAAGTATTCATAAAAGTCATGACTATGTCAGACAGAAAGTGAAGCACTGTTGCAGTGAACCACAAAGGCCATCTTTAAATTATATGTTGTAAATCTGTTGTTTATCACAGACGAGTGATCTGTATTGAGGAAATATACATATCACATCGCATGATACCTGTCCTGCATACTTGTAACACACAATGTCACCAACACATATTCTCATGAATATCATTCTTACAGCTATGGCTAGATTTCCAAGTCATCTCTTCCCTTCAGCATAATGATTGTCATAATTGTTTCATATTCAAACTGTCATGGATAGCCCATGCACTGATCTAATCCTAGCTACACTGTCCTACACAATGTAAATATATTCTTGACAAACAGGATTGATGAGGTTATACACAGTTGATTCGACAGATTATGCCATGATACTGTTGCTCTTGATAATGAAGTGTCCTAATATAAGTCAATAAATGACTCAGCATTGACATCATAAACCCCTTGATTTAATTTCATCATTCATCTGGTTGCCTTTCATCTCTATTTGTCTCTATGAAATTAGTTAAAAGTTTCTATGGACAATGCAATATTAAACATATGGTGTTACATTATAAATTATATACATTTTAAATATTTTCTTATTAAAAGCAATGCAAGTGGAATTAAATATTTGCAGTTGGAGTTGAATGAAATTTGAATACTTCCATTAATTAGTTCTGTGTAAGTAGACAAACAAGAGGAAAATACCTTCATTGTTGACTGTATAATTTAAAATGAGATATAATGCTTATTTTTTGCAGACATTTGAATTATGACAAATTTTTCAGTCCTCTAATCTTCAGAATAACTTCTTTATAAAATATTAAATAGTTCTAATTTCTCTGTTCAAATTATGCCAATGAACGGAGTGACACCAGTTAGCTAGCAATTAGGTGAATAAATTCTCATATCAGTAACCAAGAAAAAATATATTTCCTTTNAGAAATTATGCTTACAGTTCAAGGAATTGGGAGAAATCTATTTCCAGTTTATCTTTGTTCTAATGAGACATCTTTGATTTGCAGTCTCCAGTGACAGCACTGACATGGGGTCATAATGATAAACGACTGTTCATTGCAACGGGGTGTCAGGTGCACATTGCTTGGGTGTCACGAAGAGTGGCATCATTGCAGCTAATGTGTCGTCTACGCATTCACTCACAACTAAGGGGTGGTGAAAACAAAGTTACCGCCCTACCTCTGCCTCCTCGGATCAAGGCTCTCATCTCAAATCTGTTTGCTCAAACCATCAGGGTAAGTATGAAGTATCCACAGGAAGTTTATTCTTGTTTTCATCAGTATTACTTAGTTCCTGGTCTAAAATGAGGGAACGCTTTATCCATTTAGCTTTATAATGTTTCCCTAGAACATGTCTCTAAGGAAGTCTAAAAGGTTGTAGGGGATTGAATTGACACTCTGATATAAGAATTAAATGGTCAGTGCCTCTAATACCAAAGTCTGCCATTAGAAGTGATCCTGAGTTACTTCCATTCACCTTCCTACTTCCCTAAATCCATCTTAATGTTATCATCGTATCTCCTCAGTTTTCTGAATGCCCACTTTCCAAGAAATTTCCCCATCAAAATTCCTCTACTCATTTCCTTTTTCTTTTTCCTATCTTAGCCACATCTCCAGCTCATCATATACTCCTAGAGTTAATTAACCTAAGGGTATGAGGTAATATGCGTAACAGTGAAGTTGTTCATCGTGAAGTATCCTAAATTGCATAGTTGTATCATCATTTTTAGGACCAAATATGTTTCTGAGCTCTTAATTTTCAAACATTTCTAATTTATGGCCATTCCTCAAAGTAAGAGACCATATTTCACATTCATAAACTTGAATGGACAGAATTATTATTTTGTATATGTTGATCTTGAGTTTTGGGGTAGATGAGCTGTGACAGTTTCTGAACTGAATACTACTCATAAGAATCCTTTACAAAATGTGTTCTCTAAATTTTATCATAAAATGTTTTTCGTAGGTAATTTTTTAATGTTCTAAAATGATTTATTACATATACATAGTTACATTATGACTTTGTTGCTCATATTATTTTATGCCATAATAATTTTGTGTTTAGTTGGAGGCCTATCTTCAGAAGAGATTGAAAGTGGTCTAAATGAAGGCTGAACACTTTGATGATGAGTTAGGATTGTTATTAACTTTACTTAATAAGATTCAAACTGAACTCTGGTTACTGTAACCCACATATGGTGACTGTATTGATTTTTTCTTCAGGTTTTATGGATTCATTCATTCATTCATGTCCTTTATTTTCCATATATCCATACAGGTAAAAAACCTAGAATGTGGAAATAGTCCCTTCAATAATAGATGTGTCCAGATACATATAATAAATTACATGAGTTACATAATTAAAATCACATACATTAGTCAATTAATGTAGATAATAGAATAAGAAATAAAAAACTTAATACAATTTTAATTAATGAACATAATTTAAAAAGAACATTACTATAAAAACTTAAAATTAAGTTGGAAACTGCTGACTGATCTGATTCATAATTAATTCTGAATCATTGAACCTTCAGACATTTATTATGGCTCCCTGAATGGTAGATTGGCCCATCACATGGTATGATACTAATTTACTACGCAGAAACACAAACAACATAAAATATTGTCACGTGTAACAGTGACTAAGACGTGGGTTTGGATTGGTAATTGGATTTATTAACCACCTACAGGTCATAACTACAATTAATTATTACACTGTTACTGATTTTCACAATAAAAAGCACCCCACACTAATCTCTTCAGGCTATCTGCACTAGCTTTCATGGATTTATAACAGAGGAACTATAAAAGTCTCACTAAATTACACACTCCCAATACCACTGCACTATAGCACACACAAAGTCTCAAATTACACGTTAAATCTTTACAGGCTCACTTCTTGTACTCTTCTGTACTCCTTGTGCTTACTGCTTGCTTGCTTGCTCATTCACATGTTTTTGCCACTCCCACTACTCGTCACTCACTCACTCACTCACTCACTCACTCACCCACCCATTCACTTACTCACTGGACTCTTACTTACATAGCCGAGGAACAGACATGTGTCACAGGAAACACATGTCACATGATCACTATCTAGCCAGTCTGTTGGCATATCAGTCAGATCTACAGAAAACACAGCTTCCTCTATTGTTGCATGTTGGACTGTGTTTACAGAGCTGTTGCCTGGCAATGCATTGATCAAATCCGTTACATTATAAGGCCAAAATCATTTTATAGTGCAATGAAGAAAATTATCTACAAAGTAAGTATAGGGAAATAAATTCAAGAAATGCCTATTATGATACTGTCCAAAATCTGTAATCATCTCATATAGTCATACTTCCCAGAAAATAAAAATATTTAGATGTATAGATACAGAAATTATTTTACACATTGTTTTGTGTTTATGGATCATGGTCTCTTACTCTGATGAGAAAAATATTCATTACGAATATGTAAAATCAACTTTTGTGTATCACGAACTTACATAGTCTGTGTTCAGAAATAGGACATTAATGCTATATATGATGCCTTTCTTCAGTGTTGCGTTCCTGAATCATCAGCACTTCGTGAGTTTGTTTCACGACCACCTGCAGGCAGTGTGCGGCTTCACTGCACCATGATCCGTCATGATGACGATTCCAACCTGAGCTCAGGTACATGCTACACACTGTACCTTGAGTATCTTGGTGGACTTGTCCCTCTTCTCAAAGGCAAGCGCACAAGCAAGATTCGCCCTGAGTTCGTCATCTTTGACCCTCAAGTTGATGGTAAGTAGGCTTCCGCATAAATCAGCATTGTTATTTACAATATGACAGTATGCTTCATTAACTAGCTAATCAACAAACTCCATGGAGCAGTGTCCTTTAGAAGCTGAAAATCACCCAGCTGTTCAAGAAATCCATACCTTTTATTGAACATGAATTTTCAGTACCACATTTTCAAGAGTTTATCTCTGGATCCTGTCCTGAGCCTTTTGAATTTAGTCCACATCATCATATACCATATGTTTATTATCTGTTCTAATATTATCCTCAAATATTATCCCAAGCGTACTAACATACTGTATTGTCATCCCCCTCTCTCACCAAATAAGTGCATTTCCGATGTGTATGACTCATTTACCATTTTAATTTGTCACCATATTTAAGGTATTTGAGTGTTACTTGTTTATTTCTTGGTCCATTTAACGGTGTTGCCTAAGCTCTTCACGTTATGTACTGTAAAATTAAGTGTTATCCTTACCTTTTGTTTCATACTTTAAAGGGGACAATACATGACTGTATGGGGCTAATACAACTGGGGGAAGGTCAAGAGGGTCCTGGTATTTCTTTCTGAAAATTGGACATCTGGTCCAATTCAGTAGGCCTTGGAGTCAACTGAATGGACTTGGTTTTTGGAAAACTATAGACTGATTTATTTTGTTATTATGCAGTGCCCTCTTTGTGGCTACCAACATTTTAAGTTCTGTTTTGATGATGCCCTTTTGACATGCAATCTCTTTTATCACCTGCTATTGACTTGTAAAGGAGAGGCATGTTCTAAAAGAATGCTGATTTTTTCCTTCTAGAATTAGCCTTAGCAGCTGATTCTACTGATTCAGCAAAGAGTAGCGGTTCATCTCAGAATGCTGCAAGTGATACATCTGATACAGAACGTGAAGATGGTTGTGGTAGTCCCAGGGTACAGAGACGTAAGCGAAGACGCAACAAGTCACACAGTGGAGGTGTTGATAGGGGCATGGGCATTGGTGCTGATGGGGAACAAGATGACCTTGCCTATGTTGACACATTGCCAGAAGTGAGTTATGTTGTATATGAAATACGTTGAGCCATTGTTTCATTTATTTAATTTTGAGTAGTGACTTACAGAAGAAATATGCTACTATTAACAATGGCACTTGAACTGCTGATTTAAAATATATGAGAAACGTACAACTGAAAGATTTTTTTCAATAATCTGATCAATTCAGACTTCTTAAGTAGAAGAACATCATAACACATCCACAGCGGGAAGATATTTTCCTGCTTGTATGTCCTTATAGACTAGTGTTCTGTTCTGGAGTGCAAAGAAGTGTTTTATAAACTCTGCCAGATTTTAAATGTTGTAACCCAGTTATTTCTTGGTAGATGTCAGTGGCTCCAGGGTCAATATGGTTAATTGGGTAATCCATAAAGAAGGGTATCACAGTGTTTAATGTTATAAAACTTTATTAACTCTAATAATACAAATCACTTGCAAAGTATGCATGAGATTACTACAGCTGTGGCTCTGAAGTAGAGCTCTTGTGGAGCAGTAATTGCTTTTGGTGGTCTCACTGCTATGCCAACTGAGATGGTGCTTCTGTAGCATGACCTATGTGCTGTCCTCCAGTTGGCGCAGGAAGTACGTTCAGATTGGCCACAACAGTTGAAAGATGATATAGTATTTTAAAATAAACCATAAGCATTTCATATCAAGCTCTTTAAAATCCATAACTTATAAGCATCCCACATATTAAGGAAAGTGACGACAAATAAATGAATACATACAGAACTTAAACTTGTATGAAGCTAATGCGATAGAACACTTTATTTGCTTTTTTGCAAGTATAATTATTATTTTTAACCCCTTCCACAGCACATTCGGCTTGTTGAGGTCACATCCAACATATGGGGTACAAAGTTCAAGATTCATGGACTGGCTTCATCCGTTCCAGCCAACCTGGGCCAGGTGACGTATAAAACATCCCTCCTCCATCTGCAGCCCCGCCAAATGACCCTGGTGATGACTGAACTTCGAGATGACATTGCACCAGGTCCAGACCCCAATTTCAACCCTAATCTTTTCTCTGAAGATGAAGAAGAAGTTTTCCAGCAAGAAGAACATGGTGGTGGTAGAATGCAACCAGACATTGCCCCACCTATTGCCCCCATGACTCCAAGATCTCATCACTCAGTCCCTGGTTCCACAGCAGGAAGATTTGCTACACAACCACACCCAAAATCCTCACAAGTCCTACCCCCACCATACATCACTGCTCCCAGTAACCATCATGTAACCTCAGAAACTAGTGTGACTGTGAATGACACTCTGGTTCCTGCATTGGCAAAGGCAGAGTCATATGAAGATGAATATCCATATGTGGACCTTACTGACATTGTTCATTACTGTGAATCACAACGTGCAGATGCTGCCTCTTGCTCCTCAGCACCAACTGTAAGAAGCTACATAGATAGTTGCACCAGTTCACAAGTGCTACCAGCATCAAACAGTATGGTGTACAGTGTTGGGGGAAATGGTGGGAGCAGTAGTGGGGGCGGAACATACAACAATATGATAGGTGGTGTAACACAGTACATGGGGAAGTATAGTGTTTCAACAGGAGGTTGTGTAAAGGGCACTGCTACTCAGATAACTCACCACATTTCCCCACTGATGTGTGATGGCACTGTTTCAACACTTCAGTCACCGAAAAATGCTGTTGCCCCAAGTGAATTTCTTATTGACCGTAACCCAGCTTCACAGACTATAATGGCAGCTGCTATATCCAATGATCATGCATGTATAGTCCACAGGATGAAATTTATGTCAGTAGAACAACAGGGTCAGAATCAAAGTGTGGTTGGTTTGAACCTGAATCTAGATTTATGCACAGTAGAACAGAATAACATAGATATTAGGCCAGTGGTTATGAAAAGAGTTGACAATGAAGGAAGCAACATCAACAACAACAATAACAACAACAACAACAACAAGAAGCTGCCTCAATTATATAATGTAAGTTTATGTGACAGTACTTCTGGAACAGATGTAGCTATTATTCCAACTAACAGTGTCATACACAGTGCATCCACTTCTCCTATGAAACCAATAAACAGCAACAATAATGTGATCAATGTGGAGAAAAGAAAGGAGAAGTATTATTCAAACAAATCAAGCCCCAGCGGAAACCAAGTGGGAACTCCAGGCTCAAAATGGTGCATGGGGAAACCAGAAGACCTTCTTTACATTGATGAAGATGGAGTATCTGCCCCTAGTGAACTGCCTACTCCAGATAGAGGGAATGTGAAGAGAACACCTACCATCATCCCAATAGCACCATGTCCTCCAGCTTGTCTGGCAGACTCCATGGTTCGAAGCTGCAGTGTTGGATATCTGGATTTGGTGGATGCACAGCTTGTCCCTAGTGATGTGGCACAATTAGTATTTCGAAAAGAGGCACCAAAACGCCTGGTGTTGGTAAATAGGAAGAACAAACAAAGAAAACACAAGAATAGAGGTCAACATGCTCAGGAGTTGAGCAGTAGTGGAGCTGAAGACAGGAATGTGTCTAGTACATCCAGACCACTGAAACTGAAAAACTGTGGGAAGAGCAGAAGTCTTGACTCCAGTGACATCTTCCCTCCAAACAATTTTACCAACCAAATTCCATCCAAAAATGAGAAGGTTCCAACAGAATTACTCCAGGGAAGATATCACCACCAGAACCAAATACCACTGGTTGCTGTTTCCTCTGTGTCCTCAGCATCTCAGGAAACAGGTCAGACAGCAACAATGCCAAAGTCCTCCCCACTCCCTTCTACATTATTGCATGAAAAGACCAAATTGCCAGTGTTGCCCCCTTCAGAAGGAGGAAACAGTTTGAATGGGAACTGTGGAACAGACTTGAGTGAAAAGTTGGCAGTTAGGGAAGCAAGTTCTTCACATTGTCTTGGTGCAGATGTCTTACCAACTTTTGACAGCCTAGCAATGAGGTTGAAGTGCAGAGAGCTACTTGAGGAATCAAGGTCTTTGCCTCCTCCTACTCCATGTGCTTCACCACGTCTCCCTCGTAGCAGCCCAACTAGCCCAGCCCCTAGCAAAAAATCTAGCAAGCGCAATCAATCTTCTTCTCCTATCAGGTTAGTATTTCAGGCATAGGCTGAAAATCAGAAGTTATACATGAAGCAGCTTATAAGAGCATTTTCCAGTCACAGTTATTACTTGTACATACACATTGTGCAGAGAGCACATACACATAAAAATGAAGCAATATCATACACCTTCAGAAACATCTGGCATTTCAGTACACTCTTATAAAATGCTATGTCACCATCCGTAATTTGAGTTCCAATCGTAAGTTGTTACAATTCATAAGAGGCAGTGAATGAATAGAAACTGTAACTGAATTTTGTGCATACATATAAAGATCTAGGATGACAAATTTTAACATTTACAGCTGGTGCTGACTAATTTCTCAATAGAGGATATTTTAAACTTTAAATTATTAAATGTAAGTATGATATAAAGATTTTTTAAATATATTGTTTTAGAAATGGTGCATACATTGGAATTAGAAAGGCGCTGTATTTTACAGGTTTGAAAACTTTGATTGGTACAATGTCTCTCATTTGTCCGTGAAATATGACAATATTCTTCCACGAATTCAAATTATTATTACAGGAAACACCTGCTCAATTCCCCACTGTTGTCAAGACGGCAACGTAAAAGCAAGACGACAGAAAGCTCGGATGATGAGGTAGTACAATCAGGAGATGAGGTGTTCAGTGGAAAGAATTACCGTGATCTTGAGAGCTTCCAGAAAGCTCAGCTGAGGCAGAAGGTATTCAAAACTTTTTCAACTTTGTTCTTAGTGTACGTGTATGATTGATCCAAGCGAATGATCATTAGGACTGACATAGCAACTGGATGTATTCACATCCCCAATCTAAAAGAATCAGTCAGCAGTGTTGGATGATAAGTAGGGACCGGATTTTAATGCAAATGCATATTTCTTTCTTGCAACCAGAAAGTATGCTCATTTGGATATATTGTTGCGTGTTGGGTATATGTCATGCGACAAATAACTTCATGCCTTATTTGATATAGCGAATTTATTCCACTCGATCTTACAATCACACAATTTACAATCTCAACATTACTGCCATTGGCAGTATCACAAATACCCCGGCTAAAGATAGACAACAAGTGACTGGTTACTCTCTCTCTAGTAACTCACTCACTAGTAACTGGCTCAATACTCAATAATCACTGAACTCAGCGATTGCTACATTGAAATTCAACTCCTGAATAGTGCTCGCTGCTACCCACCCAGTCTCAGTACGGACAACACAGAAAACAGCCACGCAACAGTCACCGCTGTCTAGCACCGTCGTGCCCACCGACCTCCCAGCAACAGCCGCTGCACGGCTCGCTCGCTGCGCGAC